AATCCCACCTCCCTCTCTGTGTGCCTATCTTACACCTTTGCAGCCTTTCACAGGAAGTTTACTTTAAAGGAGTATTATTATGTATCATTAAACATTAGTACGAGAGGCCAGAAGTATGTGCATGCCTTAGAAGTTCACTCCTTCGTTTGGGCCAGGGCAGTGGAGGCCCATAGTAAGATACAAACCTACCCAGATTCCAAAGGTATATGCAGAATGGGAGAAGTCAACTGCTGTATCCTGGTGTTTCTGTTCTGTCCACTGCTTTCATGACACTTGCCCATCTGTGAGGTTGTGGCTTGCATCTGCCTTCTGCCCCTAAACCTGTACCAAGTGCCCCCTAGAAGTGGTAACACCTGAGGGAGGGTCTCTCCTCTGCAGGGCCATTGGTGGGAGGGATAAAGGGGGCAGCTGCCCCAGGGCCTGGGGCTCCTGGCCATTGCCACCACTACTGCTGCAGCAGCATGGGTCGGAGCCCTGGGCTCAGTGAAATGCCCCTGACTGTGACTGCACACAACTGATGAATTCAACACATGTTTGAGTTTGCAAATTTGGTCACTACATGTGCAAATGAGCAGTGCAATTGCTGGTGTTCTTCCTGAAACTGCACACCAATGATAGAGCAAGCACCCTCCATTCCCTGGACATCAGGCACAACCTGGCATTTTACACTGAACGCATGAGACCATTCTGCAAATCCATGGAAGTCTTTATTGAAATAGCAGAGAGAATAAAGGGCCTTCCCATCTCAGCCCAGCACCTTCCATTGTGGATCATGTCCTGCAGCAGGGGCTGCTATGACCTGGCCAAGGTCCCAGTAATAGCCCTGATGGCCCACTCCATGAGGACAAAGGGTTCGTTGTGTAAGTCCCTATCCAGGACATCTGCAGGGCAGCCCCAAGGTCATCCATTCACACTTTCATGTTTCACTACACCATTACCCAGCAGGAAAAGGACAACATGACCTTCATCAGGGTAGTTCTGCAGGCTGCAACCAGGTGAACTCCTAACCCTCCTCCAGGAATGCTGGCGAGTCATCTATTGGAATGCACATGAGCAATCCCTCAAAGAAAAACATGATTATCTACCACTCCTAACTATTGTTCTTTAACGTGTGTTGCTCATGTCCATTGCAAATCCCACCCACCT